GATAAAGCAATTATGGAAGAACTAGACTTCGACACTCGTATAATCCCCCCAGAAACTGCAGGGGAAGTGTAAGGACTTAGAATAACTCACCCAGGGAGCAAACCTTGCAAACCTAATTAAATTCAATAGAGATATATAGAAAGAAGAGAGATTCTTTTTCTCTCTGACCTGCTCATAGTCAATGGGAGAAAAGATTAAATGCTAGAAAGGTTTCAATCTATTTATTGTGGTTAAAGAGCCTCGTGCAGGATGTGTCACAAGCAGTTCACTGTCTAGGTAATGTAATTTAAGTTATTGTGATCCATGTGGGTCATTTGTCTTTCTTCTACTATTTTTCCCAGCATGGGGAAGCCTGATTTCCTGGCTAATAAAGGTGAGTTGTTATCATGCATCTTATTACATCCTGCGGTACTTCATGTGAATGATCCAGTGACCCATCACAGGGCGGTGATGAGGGGAAGGAACGTGAGAGAACGGGAATACCTGAAGATGTAATTCCCTTGTTTTCTGATGGCAGCCAGGTGGAGAAATCCCAGGGCTGGAGAAATCAATAGCATAGTTTATTTTTTTATTTACTGCCAGCTATTTGAAATGAAGTGAGTGATTTAACCCCAGCCAAGCCCTAAGACAAAACCCAGTGTGTGTTGCTGCCTGGATATTTGGATTGCAACCAGCACCCTTTGTGCCAGATCAAGGTAAAGGTGGCCTGAAGAAGCCAACGAGGAATGGGCTCGGCCATAGCTAAGTTCTGACCTGCTCTGCACTCCGGACATCACCTGTGGCTAGGAGCACAAAACCATGCATAACTTCAAGGGATGGTAAGGAAGACAAATGCAGCTCAAAGGAACAGATACTAGCAGCAGTGAACAGTGCAGAGACTTGGGACAAAATATAAGACAGCTCCATAAGCCTGGTGTGTGGGAGGTCAGGAGAAAATCCTCTCTCAGGGAAGCTGACCTTGACCCCCACACAGCCATTGCCTTCTGCCTTTCCATTTGGCTCTCCCCTTTCCATGGACTTTGCCAGGACATATTGCTTAATCCGTGAAAGCCATGGAGCATCTGGTTGATACATGATCTGTATTCCCATGGTGAAGATGCAGGAAACAGATACAAACAAAAGCAATGCCAAAGGAGCCCAAGGTTATGTGGAGGTGTGTCCCTGCCCATCATCAGACATGAACAAGCTTGGTCCTAGGACTGCTCCCAGAATAAGACACTGCTTCCTGGAGCAAAGCTGATGGAGGAGAGCTTAAAACAAGCGAGAAAACAATGCTGAGAGCAAAAGGCAAATAGATGCAACTTTTGATCTGCTAGCAAGAGTCAGAATTAATCCTCTCTGTTGCAGTGATGGCTGCTTTCCTGAGCCCTTGGGGCCACCTTGAAAATGAGAGCTTCTTGTCCTTTCACTCACCCATGATTTGCAAAGGCTTTCCATTCATTTTCCAAATCACAAGGCTGAAATTAGGAGGAAGGGCTTCATCCCGTAGGACAGTGCCAGGCATTTCTCTACAAGGGAAACCGTGATGCAAACATGAGGATGCTGAGTGTGGATGGGGGCTTCAGATGTTGGTGCTCCCCAGCTGAGCATCCAGAAGTATTAAAATCTGTGGGGAAATTTTGCAGTAAATGTGTTTCACTTTTAAAGTTAAGAGGGATCAAGCACTAGACAACCACAGAAGACAATGATAGCTTCTTCATTTCTTGACGTCTTTGGTGGAGACTGCAGGCCTTCCTGGAAGATATTTTTTAATCAAATACTTACTGCTGAGCTAAACACAGTGGTTATTGAGTGAAATGCTATGGGATACGTTATTCTGCAGACCGATGAGCTAATAGCCTCTGCTGGCCTTAAAACCTGGATGGGCATTTTAAGAGGATTCTATAAAAAGGCCCTCCCGATAAATAATTACTCAGGGCGGTAAAAGCTAAGCATTTGTGAATTCCTCAGCGACCACGAGAGATTTAAAGACTGTTTAACATATTACCCAACCGCCAGCGAGTGCAGTCTGATGTCCATTGGTGCGACTAGAAGCTCTCCCCTGGTTTTTGTGGGCACTCGGAGAAGCGGTGCCAGGGCTAAAGGCAGGCAGGGCAGTGCCAGCCTCCATCTCAGAGTGCTGCTGGAGGTGAAATGCCTGCCTCCAGCTTTTAGCTCTCCTGGGAAGGTTATTCTGATTTTCCTCTAGAAAACCTTGATAGGTAAGACTTGGGGACAAGCCAGTAACCAACGGAGAGACAGATTGCATAGACGATCCACCTGAACGTGCAAGGAATCGGCACGTACTTCGCACAGCTTGGAAATGCCATCTCCTCTCCAGTACTCGGTATGGGAGGTAACACCTTCCTCAGAGCTCCCACGGCAAAAATACCCCTCCAGCCCTGACCTGAGGTCCTACGCAGCCTGTTGTTGAGCTGTGGTCATGGAAGTCTTGCAAAGAGGACAGGTGGTGACCTGTCACACTCGCTGCTGTCGGATGAAGAGGGACTGGGCAGAGCAAGGGCTGAGCACAGATAAATGTGAGCCACGCTGACTCCATCTGCACAGCCCTCCAGCACCCTGCAAGGTGCTCCTTCCCTCCTAGAGGCTGTGTTTGTAAAGCAGCCCTTGATTATCTCCCCTTTGACACACACGCTTTCCACCTAAAAATCAGTTGCATCTGTGCTTCTGTGCATGTTCACTCAAGGAAGAGAGCTTGAAGGTGCTGCTACCTGGGAAGTGTCTGAATCTTTTGCTCGTGGTTAACTATGCATTCTGAAAGACCCCAAAGAAAGAGCCAAGGTGAAGGCTCATTTATAAAAATATTGCTCATGAATATAAATACTTGAGTCGTTGTGGGTCTGCTTCACTTGGCCAAACAAGCTTAAATATAAAGTTGCTTCTCTTAGATGGATTAGCCTGCGACCACTTCAGTCATCTGTGTTTTTGTACAAGGTCTTAAAAATTCATTTTACAAATGGTTGAACATGTATCATTGGGCTGCTGGTGGTGTTTATTTCTGATGGGCGTTTACGCCAGCAAAAGCCAGTTGTTTCCACGCCCACTGGAAAGGAATTCAGCATAGCAGAGGGAAAGTCATTAAAACATTTAAAGCAATATTAAAAAAAAAATAAAATTATCCATCGCACTCCAGATTTACTTTTCTCTTTGTTTGTAAATATACTGGGGGAAAAAATCACTTCTGCTTCAGTCTGGTGTCAAGTGTGCTGCTTTGAAGGATTTGGCATATTCTCCACTCAGCACATCTGGTATGGGCGGATGCTGTTCAATAGACATTTTATTTATTTTTTGTCATTGTTGTTATATTTCAAGTGATCCCAAGCCAAAAAACGTTTAGCTGAACAAGAAGTTTGCCCATTATCAATCACTCTCAGATAACCAGTGCCAAGCTGAAGGCGCATCTTTCCAGGCATGCTGGCCACAGAAGCCAACTTAAGCAATATTGATACCCTACTGAGATACCCGAGGAAGTGCAAACATGGAGTGCTTGATAAAAATAGCAAACTGCAGGCTGCGTATTGCTAAGTGCTATTTAATGATGCAGGAAGTTTTGGTATCTGTCCTACCCTCTGAAAGAATCAGATGCTTCACCCAGGCTGTGACAGGGAAGAAGAAAGCGGCTGGGTTGTGTCCAAGGTAAAATGAAAATGTATTTTCTTTTACCTCTGAGCAAAAGAGATTCATCAGGAAGTGATTTGGGGGTTCCTGAGAGGTCCTAAAACACTCAGTTGGGTGTTGGGTTGTTGGTATGTTGAGCTGTTGTATTTCTAAAGGTATGATCTTTCCCAGAGGTTGTAATAAAGAAGATGAGCAAAAGGTTTACTGTGTGGTAGTTTAGTTTTAAAACTGAACAGTATGATCATAGCTCTGTGAAAGGACAGGATGGCGTCAGAAATATCTTTATTTTAGGTTGATGCTACTTAGGAAAGAAACTGTGGCCCCCATAATGAGCTGGGCACTGGCTAAGGGTGCAAAGGGTGGGTGTGCACAGCCCTGGCTCGAGGGGATGCCACCAGTGGTTACCTGCTAAATGTGCCAGGAGATGTTGGAAGGGAAGATTGGAGCCCTGGGGGGAAGGTGGAGGCTCTGGAGGAGTCAGACAAGGAAAATGTGCCAGCGACTGAAGGAAAGAGGAGATGAAAGGGAAAAGGAGTGTGGAGAACAAAGCGCAGACGTCAAGGAAAGGTGGGGAGGGGAAACAGAGATGATGGTGCTAAAATTAGATGGGGAACAGGGACAGGGAGAGCTGGTCTGGTGCCCTCCCCTTAGATAAATTCCCTCTGAAGCTGCTGTCAAACCTGGTTTGGGACAGGGGAGTGAGAATTGGGGTCACTGGGGTCCAGGTGGGAAAGTGAGGTCCCTGCAGCAGGTTTAACTGTTTCAAACCAATTTTCTGGGTGACTCCTAATTACATGCTACTAGTCACAGCCTATGAGAGGCTAATGAAACCTTTGCCACCAATTAAATACCATTTCTGCATGCTGAGGGGGGAGTGAGTGAGGGAAACAAGAGAAAAAGTGACCAAACTTGGCTCCAGCTGGGATCTGGGTTCAGGGCACGGCTCCTCCTCCTTGTGCTCTCCTTGCAGAGTGTGGCTTGATGGATCTGGGGCTGTGGGAACAATGCTCTGAACAAAACATGCTGCACATGAGGCTGTGTGTGGAGGAGCAGGGGTGCAGTGCTCCCATTCGCTGCCATCCACACCCCAGCACTTCAGCAGGCATTTTATTCCAGATAAGGGATGTGGTTCCCTACGTCCCTTCCTCTGAACTCTTGAGCTTTTAAGTCACTGCAGATTCTCCCCCAGGTTTTTTCAGTTTCCTATCCCAATTCTATCCCAATTACAGCATGCCAAGCACCGTGAGCTGATGCTCACCTGGCTTTCCCTCCAAGGAGGAGCTCAGGATGTGGTGCTTGGGGGCACCCTGTCAGACAGGAGGTTGTCAATCAGTCCTCCTCTTTCACAACTGCACTATTATTTTTATTTCTTTAATTTCTAGCAGACCAGCTTTTGTTAGGGGAGCCAACCCTGGAAACCTGTCACCGTGATTTTGGGCATCATCAGTGTGGCTCCAGCCTTTAGAGCTTCAGTCAAATAGTGAGCCACATAACATCAGCCAGACCTGGACTGGTGGTAAGAAACATTTCCTACTTCTGCCTTGGTATTTGCAATTCTGAGGGGTAGAGAGAGCTTTCTGGTGAATTGTGCCCATTTCTGTGACCTGGTGGCATGCTCTATAGGACGTGGTATAGGGCTGAAATCATCCAAGCGTGCAATTTGCAAGTAAATGGTTCCTTACGGCACAAAACTAGCTGAAGGAAGCATGCAAAATGGGGCTCAAGGACACTGCCTCTTTCACTGCTGATAAGTAGCGGGTAAGAATAAATGTAGTTCAGACACCTTCTTCTTCCATTTGCAAAGAAGTATGCTTGCCTTCTCCTCTTGTATTGGTTGTTGTATGCATAAGTGCCTTTATAGATATTATATGCACACTGAATCACATACGGTGTTCCTCAAAGTCAGTGGAAGGACTTGCACATCAGTGGGTTTCTGACAAAAAACCCTCTCCTGATCCCTTGTTTCTTCCAGAAAAGCAGAGATCTGTACCCAAGGTTGTCAGAGTAAGGAAAACACACAGCTTTATGCCAGTTTGCCCAGAGTGGTGTGATGTCCGTGGTGTGTTTGTGCACGCAGCCCTTCCAATTGCTTCGTCTGGGAGAGAAAACCCGATATTCCACCTCCTGAAGGTTACTAATGAAGCAAAAAGTCAAGGCTTTGACATCTTACTGCTTTATTCACCCGGCAACACCTCTATTAAAAACTCTCTGCAGTTCTTTCTGGGTGGCACAGCAAGCTGGCCACCAGCCGGGGGAGAAGCCCCGCTGGGACATGAGGTAAGCTCCTTACCTAACGCCATGCCTTGCATGACCCCCAAGGTGGGGACAACCACGTTGTGTGACCCACACAATGCCCTGCATGTGGTGGCACATGCCAGTGACTCCTGTCCAAGCTAGGGCCACCATCCCTTTATGTGAAAGGAGTTTGGGTACCGCTGGCAGCAGCCACCCGTGCGCCCCAAGCCCGTTGCCCCCTGAGCACCGTGGGCACGCAGGGATGGGTGCTGGGGGAGCGATGTCCTCCCCACCCAGACACAAGTGGAGAGATGCTTCATCCATCACATCTTTCCCAAATTCTAGGGGATTTGGGGTGCAGCAGGGTGGGGTGGGAATAGCAGGGCTGAAATTGGGGCCGCAGCTGGGTGCCTGCTTCCCCCCCTCCCCCCACCCCGCCTCCTGGGGGCTCTGGGTGGCTGTGAGAGCTGCCGGTGCGAATGCAAGAAGAGTAAATAAAATAGTCGGGAAGGGTTTGCAAAGCCCGAGCGAGCATCCCCGGTGCCGCAGCGCTGGCTCCCGCCGGGCCGGGCCAGGGCTCCCTCCCGCAGCTGCGGGCTCGGGGGCGGCGCAGGGAGGCTCGGCTTGTGCAGCCCCCTCCCTCCTCTCCTCCTCCTCCTCCTCTTCTCCTCCTCCTCCTCCTCCTCCTCCCATGCCAACCTGCTGCCGCCTTTGTCAGCGCAGCCCGGCGCTATGGCATCCTGCTGGGGCTTCAGGCTCGGGCTCTTCCTCCTCCTCCTCCTCTTCCTCCCGGCTGGCAAGCGGCTGCTGCAGCGGCAGGGCCAGCCCTGACGGGCACGAAAGAGGCAGGCGGAGCCCCCCCAGGTGAGCCCCAGGTGCCGGGGGGGGGATGCAGAAAGGGGCACCGGGGACAAGCGCTCCCCAGCCCCCGGGGAGGATGCGGGGACATGGGGGGGGACAATGGGGGTGGCCTCAGCACCGGCACCCCCCGGGGGTGGGGACGCGAGGGGGTGCAGGTTGGAAGCCCCCCGAGGTGACACCTCTTGGTCGGGACTCAGAGAAAGGGGGGGGACTCCAAAATCTTACAATTCAGTGACTTTGGCAGCTGCGCTTCGGTCCCGCACTGCTGGAGCTGTCTGCGGGCAGCTGGAGGGGAGAGAGCGGGGGACCCCCAGCCTGCACCCCCAAATCCTTACCGGGAAGGGATGGGGACCACCGGGGATGCTGCACCCACTGGTAGGGGGGGAACGGTCTGAGCAAAGTCAGCTCTGGGGTGGCAGCGGGGGGTGTGGGTTGGCCATGCAGAGACGCAGGCTGAGCACAGAGGGAACGAATCGCTCAGAGCTCTCCGGATCTATCTGACGGTGTTTGCAGGGGTGTCCCCCATTGTGCAGGAATTTGGGGGGAAAAAATGAACTCGGATGTGCTCTAATAACGCACCGACAGGACAGCGTTTGTGTGTGTCTGTATGGGCCGATAGTTGGCGAAGGATGGCCGGGAGCATATGATGCAGTAATAATTCAAGTAATTTACTGCACGGGTTTGGACTGATCGACTGCACTTTTCCAGACCATGTAGAAACCTTAACCTGGGTTATGTAACTGAACACTACAAATAATAAACCTGATGTGATTGTGCAATGGCAAGCCCTGTTCGACCTGAGTGCTGACACCGCTGCGGGGGCACGCTGTCTTTACCCACAAGTTCCCCACCAATTTGTGCCCTGTGAGGCTTTAGAGGCTGCTGCATTTTGCAGGGGGGCTGAAGTGCTTAGCAGAGTCCCTGTACAGCTCACCCTGCTTCTGCTGAGGAGCCTGGGTTTGCCTGTTTGTCCCCTTTTGGCTCTGGAGGAGAGAATAAAAATCCCGGCAGGGAGCCAGCACAGGTCCCTCCACCCTGCTCCTGCACGCCTGGGGGGACAGTCCCATTGAGACTGCATGAGCCCGGCTGCTCGAGAGGACTTTTCAGAGATGCTGAGAAGCCATCGTGGGGACAGGGCTCCAAAGTGCACTTTTTTCGTTATCTTTTTAATGGGCAGCAAAAGGCAGGGGGAGGAATAAGGTGTCCAGAAAGGGATGCTGGTTCTGCTGGGTGTGCACGGTGGAAGGCAGATGGAGATGAGGATGTCTGTCTGTCAGAAATTCCTTCGTGTTTTGACAGGGAAATGGATCCGTGAGTATGGGAGGAAACAAAACTGAATCCCATCTCCAAGCGTTGTGTGTTTCATGAGAGGCGTGCGCTGCCTGCCTTGTTTTATTGTATCTGGCGCTGGGAAGACAGGCTGAAAGATTTATGAGCTGAAGTTAATAGTAAAACAGCATATTACAGCCTCTGTATTAATGTTCTGCGCTGAAGTAGCTTGCTCTTTCTGGGGGAATTTATGCAAGGATCGCTCGCTCTATCTGTCGTCGCGGTAATGGTATTATAGGGTGGCCCGTTAGTCACCGTGGGGGCAATCACAACAAGGATGCTGCCTCCCTTTCAGCAAATCAAAGGGAGAGGGAAATGATGACTCCAGCAACTCTACAGCCTGTGTGTTAGCTGCACCTGCTGTGGGCACTGGGAAACGGGGAGGACAAATGTCAGAGGCACCAAGAACAGCGAAGGAAATGAAGGAGGACATAGAGGAGGAAGATAACAGGAGCTGTCTGCCAGCAGCCACGATTCGGGCTCATCCAAGGCACCTTTTCAGTGCCAGTGGTGGGACTTTCTCTTGAATCACATCCTGGGGTTGATGTGCCCTGGTACGCACTGCCCTTAGCAGATGCAGTGGGGGCTGAAGGTGCCACCTGGCATCTGGGAGCAGTGGCACTGATGAAATGAATTGCTCTGAATAGCAAATTTACAGGGGAACCAGCAGGCGGAGGGGACCCTCGCCCCAGTGCTGGTTCAGGGAGTTGAGGAGGGAAATTTTATTCTGGCAGGTTTCCCTGGGCCACAGGGGAGAGATCTTACAGAGGATTGATTCCGAAAGACACCAGAAAATAGAACAGCATCTTCCCCTTGTGCAGCTGTGAGGGATGGAGGCTGCAATCGCAATACTCTTGGTCTGTGCCTCCAGAGGCTGAGGTAGCAGCTTGATGGTAAGAAGAGAGCTCAGTTCATTGCTTTGGTGCAGGGCAAGGAGGCATTGATTTGTGGTGAGCCCGGAGCTCATCTGCGCGCAGAGCCAGACCCCAGCGACTGGCCGTGCAATATCATGCTGTACGAGCCCGTGCTGCCATATAATGGTGCTGCCAGGGCTGCAAATGTCGAGCCTGAGGAGCTAAGTCACAGCCCCCCTCCCTGTGTCAATACGACAAAGTCATTAAGAGTGAAATGTTAAGTGGCTCATTTGGTCGGAGGCTGTCTGGCTGAGGATAAATAAGCAAGGTCCTGGCCCCGTGCCCGATTTTCTCCATGTTTCTGGAGATCAGTGGCAGTTTGGGGGGTGTGAAGGGTGCGTGGTGGTGCCGGGAGCAAAGATCAGGCAGGACTTTGATGGAATTGAGGCCATCTGAACAACCCCATGCTGCTATGTGTGCTGTGGGTACTTTCATTCGCTCTGCTGCTTTTGACTGGTTCCGTACCCTCTCTGAAAGGTCTTCCTGTGCTCATTTTGGAGCTTTGCATTTACGTGCCAGGTCCAGGTCTATTCTGGTCCTGCTCTGAGAGGTGGTGAATGATCTTGGACCCAACAGCTGGGGTGGTGCCTGGCCGAATGCTTGATGCCTGGGACGTGGCAGCTCCCAGGGTGACTTGACATGAGATGGGAGCCTAATGTGCAGCTAAAAGGCACCAGCTTTGCCTGATTTTTGCATCTCTGACCCTGGAAGCAAGGTTTTAAGGCTTTGTCCTTAAGGGATATTACATCCTGTTCTGTTTCTTGTTCTGTTCTTTGCAGCCCGAATCTGCTGGGTGTTCCAGGGGCAGTGTTTCTGATGCTCTGGGACAAGAGAGCACACATTTCCATACCCAGCCTGAAGCCCAAAGGTATCTTTTACACCTGAGTGTGTTCACACCAGAAAGGTGTTTGTGAGCAGCCAAGGGACGAAGAGGAAATTATTCCAGCTCCTAGATATCTTGCTTTTCCTCAAGGCCTGCATCTAATTTTGCAACCTGCTTTTTCAATTCCCACCTCCCATAGCTGAGCCTCAGTTGAGCGAGTTGGCCAAATTCCCACCTCTGTAGGCTCAGCTCTCTCCCAACGACCCTCGTCTCAAAGCTTCTGTCACCCCCTGTCCCCTCTCTGCTTTACAGCTGACTGCCACCTCCCAGGCTTGGCTCTGGGAAAGGAGGAGACAAACAAACTGGTCCCAGCCTGAGCTAGACCAGGTCTGGCAGAGCAACTCCATGTGGGATCCGTGCTTCAGCGCTGCTGCCTTATGGCTTAACCATGGGTTGGAGTCCCCAAACCAAGGCTCCTTGTTGGTACTGATGCAGCTAAGCAAAATCAATATGAGAGGAGGCATGTGGGGCTTCCTCTGAACCTACTGAAGATGTCAGCACGCAGCACCTTTCAAAATCAGGCTGACCCAAGTTTTACCAACTCGTAGGATTTGGAAACCTGAATGAAAGTTTGCAGTACTGTAAGAATGGCTTTGTACAAAATAGAAAAATTCAAGAAATGCTACCCAGTTTACCCTCACTGGGGTGAGAGAGCACAGGCAGAGTGCTGGGAAAGGAAGGGAACAAAATGGGTTGGCAGTTTTAAGAAGTATTTTATTGCAAACTAACTAGTGGTGTATTTTAGCAGGGCTGTGAGCGGGGTGCAGGCAGGGCTCTGGCAGGTCAGTGCGGGCAGAGCAGGGTGTGTGTCAGGCTGTGAACATGCATATCCAGGTGCAGGTTCTGTGAGAAGCTGTGAAGTTACAAAAGGGAGGAGATATTCGCTGTTGCTTGTATTCAGCACGGAGGTGACAAAAAGACAGATTTCCACTCCTGCCGCAAATGGCAGATTTATAACGTGCTGAAAATTGAGTTGCAGAGCCAGTCCCCTGGCAGCTGGGACTGTCTCTTACAAGCCCCACATTTGAAGTTTACTCCGGGAGTGCTTGGTGGCTTTGGTGGCAGGTAGAGCAGCTTGGACCCAGCCAGGGTGCTTCATTTCCTGACGGTGACATGTCAGAGAGATGCAAAGGCAGGCTGATAAAGAGGCTGTGCCTCCAAGCACACTCGGTTGATAAAGAGAGAAGGGATACAACCATCCTCCTCCAGCTTTTAGCATCACTTTCTGCAGCCAGGCGCTGAGCAATATAACATTTCTGCTCTCTTGTCAGTTAGCAGAAAAGCTTTGCTGCTGTGCATAATACAGGAGCTTTAAAAGCAAACATGCATGCTACGGAGGAGCTGGAAAATCCCTGTAGTCATTGGTTTCTGAGAGCGGTGTTTACAATCACAGGAATACATTCGTGCTGCTGCTCAACTTCTGATCAGAGGCAGCAGAAAGATGTTTCTTAAATAAACAGCCAAGTCTGCATGGAGATCTCCTTCAGATTCGTACAGGGAACTTGTTTTTCTTTTTTTCTCTCTGGAAGCTGCTGCTGTGGTGTTTGCTGTGAAAGCTGATGTACGGCAGCTTCTGACACCGCTGGTGATCAGCAGCATAATGTGGGGTCAGGATGAAAGGCTACAAGAGAGGGAGGAGTTGTTTAGGGTTCCTGGGACCATGCTCAGGAGTCCTGATGTTTTTGGGTGGGAGTCGGCTTTATTAAGGAGTAATAAGAAACCTCGCAAGCCTGACTTGTGCTTTGCCACTCGGGTAGATATTCTGCTCTTGATGCAGATGGAGAGACTCGCTCCTGGGGTCATCGCAGGGTGGGAGTGAATGGGGGGAGGCACCAGAGCTCTTTGGGCAAGGAGAAATATCCTTGTCATTCCTGTCAGTAAGAATAACAAAGTGCCCAAACATAGGAACTGCAGCATCCCATGATCTGTCTGGTTTTGCAAACTGCCTCTCCTGGTAGCCAGCAGCAGACACCGACAAGAATATTCACTACAGGCAGATGAAAAATAACCTGCATCCCATCAGCAGCCTTTCTTAATCTATAATAGCTACAGGTTGGTTTCCACTCTGAAAGCGGGGTTTTACATCCTTCCCAAGATGTTTGCTCGTGTTAGCTGTGCTTGCCTGAGCTATTCTTATTACCCATATAAATGTGCAGCCTTTGCTCTCCACCTCTGCCCTGGTTCTTCACACCGGTGAATGAAGCTGCACTGCTTGGGTTTCTCTGGGAGCACATTACTGAAGAGGATGTACTCCGTCCTTGATATTTCTCAGTCTTCACATGCTCCTTGATTGGCAGACAGCCCTCTAACATCTGCTGGATTTGTTTCAAGATTCAGTGGGATATTTTATTTTTTAACTCTTCTGGCTCTTTTCTAAATTTTGCACTTTTTTTATGAAATTGGGCTCAAAGATTTTCAGGTGTGGTGGAGCAGCTCTTCCATTGCTGAATAGTAAAGTCAGGAAAAGGTATTTCTGCAAAGAGTATCATACTATCTAGAAGAGATAATATAGAATGGAGAGTAATGTTTTTTAAAAAGCATGATGGTAATTACATGCTCAGATAACTTCTAGCAGATAACTTCTAACTTTCTTGCTGTCAGAAAACCTTCCTGTGAGCATTTTGCAGTCAGTATGGAAACAGCTGGAGTTGTCATGGTGTGGTAGATCATCTCTGGTTACAGAACAGGGGTAGAATTATTGTCAAACAACTTGACACATCTGCACTTTCATAAGTTGATCAGATACTCTGTGAAAGCCCAGTAGCAAGCAGGCTGCCATGAGTTCAGCCCCTGCAAAGCTTCTGCTGTTTATTCACTTGCTCACTTTGGCAGTAGTGACACAAATGGGCCTCCTTGGATGAAATCCTGATCCCATTTAAGTATTACTGACTTCATTGATGCTTGGATTGCAGCCTTGGAGTTTGGAATCAAGAGGATGGGTTATACAACCAAGCCCTTGACTGCAAGGGGAAGGAAGGCAGGTCCTGTCTGTGGCTGAATTACAAGGTCCTGAATGTTATCTATGGGTGACTTAAAATCTTTTTTTGTTTGCTGTTGTGTGTTGTTGTAGAAGTGGAGCACAGTTTCCAGGATAAACAACAAAATACGCTTGAGCTATGGAGTCCAACCAGGAAACCTCACTCTTCCTGGTGAAGATCTTGGAGGAGCTGGACACAAAGCAGAACACCGTTTCTTACCAGGATCTCTGCAAGTCACTCTGTGCAAGGTTTGATTTGTCCCAGTTGGCCAAACTCAGAAGTGTGCTGTTTTACACTGCTTGCCTGGATCCTAATTTCCCAGCGACTTTGTTCAAAGACAAAATGAGATGCACTGTAAACAATCAGCAATCAAAGAAAATCATGGTTGCAGCAGATATAGTAACAATATTCAACCTCATACAAATGAACGGGGGAGTGGCCAAGGAGAAGCTTCCAGTTGCAAGGCAAAAAGTGAAGAAGAAAGAGTCCTTTGAGTCCTGCAGGTCTGACACGGAAATCTGCAACGTGGCAGACTGCGTGCCCAATTGTGAGCTGAACGACCAGGACTTTAACCAGGGCTTTCCGGTCAGAAGGTCTTCAAAATGCAGGAAGATGGACTGCAAAGACTGCCAACAGTTTGTTCCCTCTTCAGAACCCAACTTTTTGCTTGGGGTCAATAAGGAGATGAAGGGCCGGGCTGCCTCTCTGGATAGGCTTCAGGCACTGGCGTCCTACTCCATCGCCACGTCTCCGCCGTGTGAGATGCAGAGTACCTACTTCCCTATGAACATCGAAAATGAATCTATTTCAGACCAGGACTCCTTGCCAATAAGCGCAGGTCTGAAAGAAACCTTCATTTCAAATGACGAGCCGTTTGTGATGCAGTCGTGCATCCAGAAAAGGAATATATTCAAAGAAGATTTTCATAATCTGATTACAATATCTCCCAACTTAATACCGCCCAACAAAAAGCCAGAAGATGGACACAGAGAGCCTCAGAACAGGAAAGAAAGCTCTAAGCAGGCTTTCTTCAACCACAGCTTTGAAATGCCATACAGCAGCCAGTACTTGAATCCAGTTTATTCACCTATACCAGACAAAAGACGAGCGAAGCATGAAAGCCTAGATGATCTTCAAGCTTCAACGTATTTTGGCCCAACTACGATTCTTGGGCCTCAGGACAACAAAAAGTGGACAGGAAAACCAACTAAACAAACTGCCTGGCCAGCTAAAAGCTGGAGTTTAAATACTGAGGAGGTACCTGACTTTGAACGATCATTTTTTAATAGGAAGCAGTCAGAAGAGAAGACGCGCTACCAGAGCTCGAACAACCCATCTCCAAACTTTCCTTCAGCAGACAGGCATCAGGCCTACCTAAATGCAAAGGACCAGCAACCAATTATGCAGACAAATTATGCTGTGAAACAAAATGGGCATAAACCCAAGGAAATTCCTTCCATTCTAGATGTGGAAAAACATGAGCCAGTCAAAAAGTTTAAGGACAAAAGCATTAATTGTACTTCTGTTCAGATCTTAAGCATTGACAGGACCACGAGTGTTGGGACACAAACGGAGCAACAGGTCCTGGACCACAAAAAATGCAAGGATTTGTGTACACCAGGCCAAGCCAAGTATGGAGAGAGGCACTCCCTTAAGCACTCGGATGATGACTCTGAAATCGTGAGTGATGATATCAGTGACATTTTCCGATTTTTAGATGACATGAGTATCAGTGGGTCCACGGGAGTGATGCAGTCTTCATGCTACAACAGCACTGGCTCCCTGTCTCAGGTGCATAAATCAGACTGTGACAGCTCGCCTGAGCACAATTTGACTAAAATCTCCAACGGGAGTGCCTGCAACAAATTAGAAAAAGTGGTCCGGGCAGATGTCAGTAACACGGACGATGAACTGAAAACAAGTGTCTGCAAATTGGTTTTGAGGATTGGTGAAATAGAGAAGAAACTGGAGTCTCTCTCAGGTGTCCGTGAAGAAATCTCCCAAGTCCTGGGAAAATTAAGCAAGCTGGATCAAAAAATTCAGCAGCCTGAGAAGGTCAGTGTACAAATAGATCTTAATTCACTGACAAGTGAGGCCGCGTCAGATGAAAGTAACTCCCCGCAGATATTTCAGTGCCACAACACTCCTCATGGAGGCAAGCTGGAGAATAATCCAGAGTGGTGCTGTTCAGATGCCAGTGGAAGTAACAGCGAAAGTCTTCGAGTAAAAGCCTTAAAAAAAAGTTTATTTACTAGAAGGTCATCGAGATCATTAACAGAGGAAAATAGTGCAACAGAATCCAAAATAGCAAGTATTTCAAACTCTCCCCGAGACTGGAGAGCTATTACTTATAGCAACCAAGTTGGCATTACAGAAGAGGAGATGAAAGAGAGAGATGGAGGAGAAAATAAAGACTGGCACAGGAAATCTAAAGAGGTAATTTCAACCTTAACTCACATAATAAGCACTTGAAAATAATCTAGTTATGAATGTCTTCCGCAGTCATCACAAGCCTCGGGGTATGACAATGCTTTGCCCCGCCATATTATGCCTGTCTTTATTGTTATCATAATTGAGTGATTTTGTACCTATATGTTCTTGCTTGGCAGCTGCAATATGGTCAAGCTGTTCCTAAAAGCACTTTGCTCTTTTGAAAAGGGAGGGGGGTAATTTGGGTGAAATCTTCGAAAGAGGATGATGTTCTTCATCATCATCATCAGGGGCGATATAATGGAGGCTGGGTAATTAACTTGGTGAAAAGAACGTGAGGAAAATTGTTACAGTCTGAAACTCTCCGGAGGTTGGTTTAGAAGGGATATTTTGAAATTGCATTGTGATGGCTTTTATCAGAGAGTACATGCATATTTAAAAGGCAACAAAGTAGATTTGTGGATTCAAATCCACATGTTGAGGGTTATTGTGTCTGTTTTGTGGAAGTGGAGCCCACTGGAGAGGGCTGGGGATCCTTCAGCTACACGGTCTATCAGGAACATGTGGTGGGCACGCTGTGCTTCCTTGGGAGGGGGATCAAAGGCAAAGCATGACTGAGGAAGGAGAAGATGAGGTTTGATGGGCGTAAGTGCAGCTGGATTGAACGAGAAAGCATAAACTATGGTTTATTAGCAGGTTTCAGATGGGGAAAGGGGTTACCTTTATCAAGACCAAACCCTGGCATTTCTGTACATTGGTCTGCCCAGAATGAAGTAAAGACTTTGAAGGTCCCTTCCTCACTGCTGCGGTAGACCACAGCTGATGCTGGATTAGTAGCATGGATGATGTGGTGCCAAGGGGGTAGCTCCTGGAGGATCCCCTCATGAGGAGCCCTGTTGAGATTTGATCTGGAAACACAAATCTTGAAGCTTGCGTAGGGCTCTGAGCTTTACCAGATCAGCTAGGCATTTCTGAATGTTTGGGGCTATTTTCAGAATAGTTTTATAACCTGTAAACAATACAAAACCTAAATTTCATCTTCTGCATGAGCTTTGTGTTCATGTTATGGAGAGTCATCTGTAAAATACCTCTTTGATCTGGTTGTGAGAAGAGGGTGGGCAAACAGATTAAATCCACCATCCAAAAACTTTGTTCTGGCTGATACTTCTCTTATCTTGGATTAAGCAGTATCATATAGTGAGTCTGAAAGGAATATCCTTGTCCTTTGTGTTTAACCCCCTCATAGTCCTGTTTCTTTTCTCAAATTCTTTTGAACCCTATTGCAGGCAGACAGGCAATACGAAATCCCACAGCCACATAGACTCTCTAAACAGCCAAAAGATGCTTTCTTGATTGAACAAGTCTTTAGTCCTCATCCCTACCCTGCATCACTCAAGTCACACATGAAAAGCAACCCGCTCTACACAGACATGAGGCTGACGGAGCTGGCTGAAGTGAAACGTGCCCAGCCATCGTGGACCATAGAGGAATACACAAGGAATTCGGGGGATAAAGGCAAGATTGCAGCATTGGATCTACAAGTGAGTCCCATTTGTTTAATTTGAATGGCTTGTTTGTGAATCGATGTTACCAGAAAATGAATTTAATAAGGGATTTGGATAGCTCAGAAAGGAGCTGTGCGGTGTTGAGCCTCTAATCTTGCTGATCCCTATCCATCTTGGCTAAGGACAAAGAAAAATGTGGATGTTTGATTGCAGAGTGATGATCCTTGACAGGTTGGTGCTTCCACTTTGTTCTGTAATGGAGAGATGTCTGCTAAGCCATCACACTGTTGTTAACTCTAAAGAAAAGGCTGGGGATAAAGGGATGGACAAAAGGGGGAGGTGAAACTGGTCCCTAATCACAGTAAGGTGGTGGTGCAGAATCTGGCATTGCTGCTTTTTCTTTTATCCTTGTTCTCTCTGAATTGTTCACAGAGAATTTAAGTGTTAACACTTTTCCATTTTGCTAGGAACATGAAACAAAATATTTGTAGAAGACATTCAATACCATGACTCTTTTTGAAATACATCCCTGTTTGAAGCTCTGAAGTGGCTGTTGGAAACTACAGTCATGTTAAGGGCAGATCAGTTAATGGTGGGTCTTGTTCATATTTTAGTTCAGCTTGGAAATGTGCCTTTGAGGTAGATCTCCCAATGGTCTCTGCTTGGGAGAGTGATTTCTGAGAGTGGAAATTGAGTTTGTTTGTTTGAAACTACACCACATGTGGTGTTTCCTGAGTAAACAATGCATTCCCAACCACTAATAGGCCAGCCTAGAGCTTGTCCTGAGCTACCTCCTTCCCTTCAAAGGCAAAAGGGGAGACCCTGTGTCTTCACCATTTCTCTGCTGCTTTGTTCCTACCAGGTTGCACAACTTGCCAGTGCAGACATAGCCTACATAGCTACATAACCTACAAAGAATAACCAGGCTCTTTTTCCTGATTAGTCTGATAAACACAAAACATCTTCTAGGCGGAAAGATCTCTGAGCTTAAAAGGGAAGCATAAAGAATGTAATCCAAAATGTGTAAAAACCAAACAGATGTTGCAGTATTGTGTCCTGAAACACAAAAAGCATCACATAATGAAATCAGCCCTGGCTCATGGTGTATTGCCTGTATACATTTATATAGCAGCATGCAGAGCCAGCGGAGGGGACTGGTGCTGCCCTCAGACGTCTTGGGCTGGAATTTGCTTGTGCAGGAATTTGTTCAGACTGCATTAACCTCCAGGCTATACTGGGTCTGGCTGGGATGTTAACTTTCCCTGCAGCAGCCCACACAGGCTCAGCTCTTGCAAGTGTCCTTGACCTCACCAGCCTCTGCTCCTTGCTGCACTAAAGCATGCCTGGAGAGAAACCGAGTAGCACAGGGACCAGGCTGCATCTTGCCTCAGCTGCCTGCTGCTGTTTGGGATTTAAAAGCATCAGAGGGGTTACTAAATGCCTATTCCTGGCATTGCAGACCATATGCTGGAGTAGGAATAGACTGAAAGAAGTTCCTCTGCAGTATGCAGCCACAAAGCATCCCTTACCTGCTGTGTGGAGGCAACAGGGGAGGTGATATTTGGAAGCACAGCTCCCCTGAGAGAAGTGTTCTCCATCTGGTCCTTGTAGGACTGTTCCCTTCCATGTAAGCAGCTCTGCATGACTGTGAGCAAACCAGAGAAAGCAGCTTATTGCCATCATTTATCTTTAGGATAAAGGTGATAAAACTTTACGGGTTTGATTCTCTCCCTGCAAAAGGACTGTCAGAATTGCATCTACTCTGCAAAACCCATGTCTAGACTTTATAATAGAGCTTACTGACAAACTTAAAAAATAGACACAGACTGATGAGTGGGTTTTTTCCTAGTGATTAACTTTATTAGAACTGAAAGTAAATACATTATGCTTTAATGAACATTCCTACGTCTGGCAATGAAATGGGAAAGGAAGCTGATTAACAGTAATGGGCCTTTTTAATAATGCATCTTCCTTCTGAAGTAGTTAAAAGGTCAATATCAAGGCAGAGAGGTCCGAAACTATAATTTCCTTGAAGCATAGTTGTCATTTATTTCTTTATTTATTTTTAACCTTGATTTGCTCCTTTAAAAATTCTCCCAGTCTTTCTTAAAACAGAAATTGCAAAAAACTGTGGTCAGGCCAAAGCTTGTCCCAGCACAGGGTCTGTGTAAGATCTCATCTCTTTGCCCTGCGTATGATGAGCCACAGGGCAGAAGCATTCAGCCAGACTATTTTTTTCTGATGCCCTTAGAGATGAGGTTGCTGTTTTATTTCTGGTTTTCTCTTCAGAAGGCTGGAATAGGTCATTCACAGATCGAACGGTACACTCTCAAGACTCAGCTTGATGGTCTCTGCTTCAGAGTACAGGCACTATCATAGAGATCTCCATTAATTGTTCATAAAACTGTTGCTTAATTTTAGTTGTTTATTTCTGGGGCAGCTATAAAACCACTTCTTGTAGTAGTTCTGTACATAAAGCAAATAGTGCTGTCAGGCAAAGCAAGGTTTCAGCTGGTAGCTCATGGCCACAAAATCTGAATTAGCCAATTAAAGGCTTACCCAAATCCCTCTCGAGTCTGCTGGAGTTTCGTTGTGCTGGGTCCAGTGAGCTTTGGATCAGACCCATTGCAAGCACAAAAGAGGTATGTGTTGGTATTCTCACCGGAACATTTCTGTATGGAACCTTTTTCAGTTGTTAAAGAATTGGCCTTTTGGAGCCTCAGACACAGGAGACAGCTTCAAGGAAAAGCTGTCATTTTTCAAACATTTTTTTCTCCTCTTCTTCACATTTTTGCTTTATTTCGTTCTTCTGGTAAGTGTGATATAGTGTCTAGTGTTGGGTTTTCCCTTTTTTCCCCCATTTTACCTTAGAGACAGGACGAAAGGAAAAAAAAACAACCAAGGTGGAAATGCAAAGCATGAAGAGATTGAAAATTCTAAGGAAGAAAAGAAGACAAAAAGAAAAAAATAAAAACACCTATGAAATGCAACATTCAAATGAAGGCACTGATAGAGTCCTCCAGGTTGCCTTTCATTTTGTGCCCAATTCAGATTTCAGATTTCTTTTTTTTTTTTAATTTTTATTATTTTTATTTTTTTTCCACACAGAGAGAATTGGATCAGACTTTGACAATGAGCAGAGTATTGTCTCCTGTGGAAATGTAGTTGGTGTCCTTGGGGTTAAATGGTCTCACCTGTAGAGATGGTCTGGAGATGGTGTAATATGGAGTATAAAATCTTGTGCTGTGTGTCCAGATCCTCCTCTTGCCTGAAAAACTGAGAGAGCATCTTGCTGAGTGCATGGTGCTTTCCCTAGCTGCTGTCCCTCATTCCTGTGTGGTTTTTGGTTTGAAGAAACAGGTTGGCTCCTGAAAGACAAGAAAACTCGTGAGATCTTAACATCACCTGTGGCATGTATGAGGTATGTGTACCTCAATGCCACATGGAAGAGTAATGCTGCAGCACTCATTGCTGTATGTGGTGACCTCTTCCATGGGCAGAAGGGAGGATATGGCAGAAAATAAAGTTGTGCAGGGAGGGTGAGGAGACCTGCCTTTGCAGACAAGTCATGGTAGCAAAATTAGGGTTAGCTTTGTAAAATGTAGTTCATAAGGAGTGTGTGTGTTAAGAACATTTCTCACCAGCTGGGCTTTAATAATTTAAAAAGCAGTAACAGACCAGTAGTTGCTGACATCTCTGCTGTCTAGCAGATAAAAGAGATCTTATTTAAATGCCACCAAGGATGACAAAGTTTCCGGCAAATCAGAAATATGTCAGGGATTTTGAAGCAGAATTAAACTGTTGCGAGAGTTTATTTTTTGCAGTGTTTTATTGCCACTTTCATCAGCCTTATGGAACTGGGACCTGGAGAAATGGAGTTGAAGGGATGTGAGCTGCAGCAATAACCCACTTTATCCTGACAGCAGACCCAGATGCAGCTGGGAGGCCTCCAAGCACACCTGCTTTATTTACTTATTTTATTAATAACAGATCCCAGGCAATTAACAATTGTTTCCTTTTTATTTTTAGACTCAAGAATCTTTAAACCCAAACAACTTAGAATACTGGATGGAAGACATTTATACTCCTGGCTATGATTCCTTATTAAAACGCAAAGAAGCTGAGTTCAGAAGAGCAAAGGTTTGCAAGATAGCTGCCCTAATAGCAGCGGCAGCTTGTACAGTTATTCTGGTCATTGTAGTTCCCATTTGTACAATGAAATCCTGAATACGTGGACAGACTCGTGACTCCCAGCTGTGTGCATCTCAGATAGCTCATTCTGTGTTTCAAGCGCCTGATGGCAAAACTGTAAGGAATTTGCGAAGGAAGAATGTTCTGAGGATATCCTGGTGGAGATTGCCGTAAACGTAGACAGAACACAAAACGATGAGAGGAACAATTTTTTTTTGAGAAGTATTATTTTAAATAACAGAGCATGTGGCGGAGCTGATGGGAACTCGGTTCGATTTTTATGCATTTTTAAAAGTGCAATATTTTTTTTCCTAAAGAAACAATATAATGTTTTACAGAATCAGAGACTGACAAGGATCCAGGCAAAAGGGGAAGGTTGTCTGAGCTATGTTGCATTTACTGGAGGTGTGAGTACCTGGAGGTAGCACTGTATAGAAGGGAACATTCTATATGCATTACACCGGGGAGCTAAGAACGTCTTAAAGCTCTCTACAATGTAGAAAACTCTGAATGTATTGTATTTATTTATAGCATTTATGTATTTCATGATCATTTGATTGAAAGCAGACTGTGTAGCCATGAACAGAGTTCATTCCTATGTTCAGATTAAAAAGGGCTTTTTATATTTGGTCTTGCCCTAAGACCCACTCTATCATCACTGAGTACTTAGATAAGTGCAATGTGCTGCAGACCAAAAAGATTATGTTTTAAAGCAATCAAAAGAGGTTTTAGTTGCTTCTGTTGAATAACATTTGCATAGAGCTGGCAAACATGCCTTGCCAAAAGGGTATTCTTTACCTCTGCAGACAGTGAAACTGTCTCAATTTCACTCCTGCCAGCAAGCAAAGCTGGCAAATCCAAGCAACACTCAGTTAAAGTTCTCATAAATGTAATCTGAACAGTTATAATTTTGTCACAAAGTCTTCGTGCCTTTTTTTAGACTGTAGATGAACCAGAACTGTTTAATTTTGCTATTTTGAGCCCATAACATAAATCACAACATAATGGGTACTAATGGAGGTTCTCTTCCCGCAAGCCTTCTATACAGTTCAGATTGCTCCTCAGATTGCAGGGCTGGTGGTTACTGAGCACTTACATTAAGGGCACAGTCTTCCAGCACGGGTGGAAACTTGCTGTTAGTGCGATGCATTCAGCACAGGGAGCTTGTCTGCTTCCCCTAGTGCTAATGTACTTAGGAATGATGGTTGACTCTGCTGGACAGCAAGCAGTCTGTAACCCCACGAGAAACATCCATTTAATGCTTTATCCCAAATGCACGTAGCAGGTTAAAAGGACTTCTCGAGTTATGATAGAAAGGGTGTGCCATGGTTAGTGAAAGCAAACGCCCAGACAGTATTTCTCTTCTGTCATGAGTGGATTGGGGGAGGGAGGGAGGTGTTAAAAAAATAAAAAAAATAAAAAAAATCAGGAAATAATGTGAACTTGCTGGTCCTCTAAGGGGAAGGTGATTCTTGTGGTGAAAGCTCTTTCTGGAGGTTTGTTGGGTTCCTTTGGAAGCAGCCCCCTGGTCACACCGCAGCTGAGAGCATCCCCTGCCCACCTGTCTGGCACTTGAGCTGCTGGGGTTCTCTGGGATCATGGGGTGTGCACCCTAAACCTGCACCTGCCTGGTGCAATTCTGACCCAAATTCTGTGGTTTTGGCCCCTTCCTGATACCAAGATTTCTCTCTGCTTCCAGATGCTGCATGATGGAGTCACAGCAGGGAGGGAGTAATTCGCACCGTCTATTTTGGGCTCCCCTTAGGCCTTCAATCACGGTGTGATTCAGAGCACCTAAGTTTAGGAGCTCAGGATCCATACGTAGTAAATATAGACAGGTAGAGAAACCTCCAGGGATGTTTCAGAGCTGCCAGCAAGATGTCTAATATTAGACATGTGAACGCACTCCACGGGGGCATTGCTCTGCAGTTTACCTTATGCACAATTTAGGTTGGTTGTGTACGTAGAAATCTCTTCCTGGTTCCAGGCAGCATCAGGAAGACCTCAAGTCCCTCATTGGCCTCACTACAGCAAGCAGGAGATGTCAGAAATAAGCAGAGTGGCTCCGTGGTTGCAGAATCAGATCCCATCTGCTCATGCTGGCAGAGTTGTGTCCCTCGGAGGGCGCAGGATGGGTGCTGGATGGACACCGGACAGACACACGGCCTCCACCAACCCCATCTCTGCCAACACGAGCGGTCTGACCCTGTGAGACCCAAACCTGCCAGCTGAAATCAGCAGTCTTAGCAATTTACTTTTAGGAAATATCTGATTATCTGAGATATGGAAAAGATGCAGGTAATGGTATTGATCACAGGCAGGTTGGGGCTGTGCTTGCACTGCTGCATTAGAGGAGGCTGAAGGGCCCCTGCTTTGTGTGTTTAGGGGTTGCCATCAGCTCCACAGAAGTGCTGAGTGCTGGCACAGGAGGAGCTTTTGCATTAGGGATGCCCAAAATCACAAGAAGGATTTGGGAGGCGATGGAGTCATGGGTGATGTGGAGCTGGTCTGACCCAAGCACTCAGCACCCTGAGCATCCACAGCACCCCTGACCGACTGAGGTGCTTTTGCCCATCCTCCCTTTGCATAGGCATCCGGTGGCACCCATCCTCATTGAGACAGTAATTTCCCTGCCCAGGGATTGGCACAAATCCCCTGTTTGGAGCTTGACTCAGCTCCTGCAACCCCTGTGAGCATCCCAGCAGTGCTGAGAGCCTGAGGGGAGAGGGGAAGACAGAGCCTGGCTCCACCCCTGCACCCCACAGATACCTCCAGGAGCTGCTGCCTTGCCTTCCCCAGGGGATGATGGCCATCCCTAGGCATTCCCAGGAGGTTCTACATCTGGCCAATGTATTTTTGCTTAAAATAAGTAAGGTGATGCAGCAGTGGGTGGCCACCACCAGGGGAGAGCTGCTCAGGAAGGAGGGACCCTGCGGTTCTGCACAGAGTGTATCAGCTAGGGGAAATCCTGACCATATTAACCTGCGAGAATATTGTGATCGACCTTGTGAACCAGTTATCAACTAGTATATGCTGTATACTACATGATAGACTTTTGTATTAAAAAAACAATAAAAAATAAATTAAAGCTATAGGTACATTGTAATCCTTGGTGTGATTGAAAAAAAAGTGTCCTAGATTGTATTACTTAATTAAAATAATGATGAGCATATTGAACTGTTTTTCGTATTTATGCCTTATAAACTTGATATATTACACATGATAAAATGCAACTGCAAGAATTATAAAAAAAAATAAATACTATTTGAGGGGCAAATCTCATTTGCTTTTCCTAAAACAAAAGTACTGCTCAAATCAGCTCAATAAATCATGTGCGTAGAAAAGCAAGAGCAGGATCTGTCCCCAAATGACTTTTTAGGATTTTTTTTTTTTTAAATGGGGCTTTGGTTAATGTACTATGTAATAATTTTATTTTATAAAGTTACTGTACAATGTTGCCTTTTGGTTCATTTAAATATAATACCAAATAAATTTGAAAAATTACAGCGTCCCAAGTTTTAATGAAACAGTTATAATAATTTATTACTCCATTGCTTTTCCTCTTTTTCTTTTCCAGGGACATCAAGATAGCCATGGGATGTGAGTGTCTCAGTGTTAGATAACTAAGCATCCTATCTAGTTCTTGGCAGAATTGCTAATGGATTTCTTACTTGTGAAATAATAAGATTGCAGAAGATAATGAAAAATGAGTTTGTTGGGTTTCTTTTAAAATCTTCTTTGCATTACATTGTATAGGCTTCTGGAAGATTAGCTCTTGACACTAATCATAATATTTCATTTTATAGGTTATTTCATGACTGTGTTATGCCAGATCAACTGTTCTAACAAGGTCATGACTAATATTTTGGTATTTATTTCCCTTTTGTGTTTATGCAACTACAGTCACTTTTAAGTCAGTACTATAGATAACTATTTATAGTCACCTATCAGCAAGCAATTAGTTTGCTCAGGATCTCTATATGGATTTAATTTGCTTTTGACTTGTTAATTGCAAAACCAGGTTGTTTAAAATTCCAGGTGCTGCAACTGCAAGTAATCCAGCATCAGAGGCTGCAAAGAGGAGCTACAGAAAAAAAGACATAAATAATGAACAATGACAGGAAAATATAGTAGTATAAATTCCTGATTTCCTCATCTCTAGTGCACAAACACCTTTAATGCATTGCTTTAGCACTTCTGTTCAGGATGGGGTCTGCTGAAAGTTAGGCATCTGGTGTACTGGGGATGCAAGCTGGTAGAAATGTAGACACTCACCTTTCAAATGCCAGGCTGCAGACAAGGTTCCCTTGGGACCTCCCCAGATCCCCTTGGGATGGGCTCTGACCCACAGTTTAGTGTTGTCATTATTTTGGGGGACTGTAGCATGGGCTCACATCAGTTTCAGGCTTTTGCACTCATCAAATCCAAAAGCAAAAGTACCCCCTGGGTTTTTATGTTGCAGTGTGAATCCAGGAGCAGAAACTTTCATAAAAATGCAAAGTGTGATCACGCTTGTGCCAAAAAATCCAAAGGGCTCTGGCACAGCATTCCTTAGCCAAGAAGCTGTATATATAGGAAATATAGACATCATCTGGGTCATCACTGTGCTGGAAAGCCCAGGCAGCTGCCAGGTTTCTGCAGTAACTGCTGGAAGAGCCACCGAGTCTCGAGGTAGAAGAGGGATCCTATGTGCAACACTGTGTCTGCAACAAAGACACAGCCCCACTCAATCTGTGCTTCTCTGAACGTATTGCTCACAGCAATCAATTGTGCTGGTTGAATAAATTCTTTATTTCAGATATAGCTTTGATGAATGGCTCTGCCTGAAACACAAAAGAGTCACGAGCAAAATATTGGATCTCTGGGCCATACGCTGCCCTCTGAAATGCTCCTGTGACTCCATCCCATTCAATCTGAACACGGAAGAGGAGCGAGTAGCCTGTAGCCTGCCGAATTGTGTGCAGCATGGTCCTATTTAAAAGAAAGGTCAGTCGTGTTGGCATGCACTTTGGGAAAAGGCAAGCATCTGTGGGAGTAATTATAAAGATGAGATATTTCCTTTCATCTAATTTTTACTTTGTTATCTTTTCAGGAAAGAGCAATATATCTTGTAAAGTGCTGTTCTGCTAGTAATTCCTCCAGCAAGCTTCACTTCACATGACTTCAGAGACCACATACCATTCAATCTCTTGCTGTTACATAAATCTTCACAGACCACTTAGAAACTGGAGCAAAATCTTCAAAGGAGGAAGAAGTGAGCTGCCAGCAGCCAGGCTCCTCCCATAAGTAAGTTCCTTTTGGTTTTATTTATTTCTTGTTAATAGCACAAAATATGTCTACAAGAGCCACAAGGCTCTGCCAAAACCAGTACTTAATTTTGTATAGAGTTGAGGAAATGGTGGGAAAAGGGTGTCCAGAGACACGTTTGCTACTGAGGATGGAGGCTTTTAGAAATGAAGAGCAGCTTCTGCCCCATTATCCATCCCCAGGCCTGTTTCTCTCTGCCCTCCTGGATCTGTGGATTTGGGGATGTTCGTCTGATGCACTAAGCAGAAATAGTGTCCCGACACAGACTCAGATCCTATGTTTCCTCAAAGTTAACCAGATTCCCTCAGTAAACATGGGGAATTTTTTGCTGGACAGTTTTCTGGTGCTTTGGCCTCAGTTAAAAAACCCTCTGAGGGCCAAGCTCTCCTTGTCCCACTGGTGGGGCTGGCAGCCAAAGCAGATACAGAACTGCAATTTGGTGCTGCTTCTCACTGATCCCCCAAAAATCCTGAGATTCTGGGAATCCCAAAGTTATGAAGGTGACTCCTGTTCACTTTAATATTGGGCATTGTGGAAGTTGCATTTCTACACCAGTATTGAAAATTGATTTAATGTATTGAAAATACTAACAGATGGGTGAGAACCCTCAGGAAAAATGTATTTCTGATTGCTGACATTAAAAAAAATAAATACAAAACCTTGTTATTCACAATAAAATTACTGTTCTCCGTGCTTATTTTGAGCCCATGCAATGTGTGCTGCCTGCCTGTTGTCCCCATCACACCCCAGGGCTCCATCCCATGTCCACCTTGGCCACATGTAGGTGTGAGTGGAAGGGCAGAAAAGAGGGAATTGCCTATGGTGAAACAGCCCAGCTTGGGAGAGGAACAAGAGAAATGTGTATTATTCTCCCCAGTCCTGGAAATGATGAGGAGTCTGCTTGCTGCTGCATAGCTTTGCTGTAAACTCTGCTTTAGTGACAGACAAATCTCTGCCTGCACTGAAAAATTCCCAATCTGCCATCCTATTGGGCTGACACGCTGCCTGCAATAAAACAAATCTTTGTTGTTCTGAGTGTTTTTGCCCATGTAATGGTGAGGGGAGAGGGGAGGACCAAGGAGGTTGAGTCATTTTTCTTCTTGCTTTGTCTTGGTAATGAAATATTGCTGCTGAACTTTACCCTGCCTTTCCTGCTACTTTTTTTTTTTTTTTTTTTTTTTTTTCAATGGCTACCATTTAAGAGGCTCATAAAATTGCATTACCAAAATTTATGACTGTACAGCAAATGTGTGCAAGTGCATTAATTCTCTTCAAGGCCAGCGTCTTGTAGCTGCAAAATTAATGTTATGGTGTGATTTCTAGTATGGCTAATTGCTGTTCAGTAAAGCAGAACTCATGGTTTTTCTCACCTTATGGCACTGAATTCCTTGGAACAGCCTTTCTCTGAGGAGTTTGTCAGGTAAGTGTTAATGAAGGATTCATGCACAACACCCGAATATGTATTTTTATACATTTTACACGTTTTTTTTTTATACTTTTTTTTTTTTTAATGCAATTAAAGACTTGAAAACCTTGGCCTTGTGAGATTGTTTGGTTGGGTTTGAGCTCCTTTGGATGGCATTTAGTTCAAAGGTTCAAAAGCAGATATCTCTGTATGCAGGAGGATAAAAACAGGCCTCTTAACCTGGTCTGAGCTCTGGTCTGGGGAGGCTGACCTGGGTGCTGCCATCACCCTGCGAATTATACCCCAAGCTAAGGAAGCAAGTGAAAAACAACAGTTCAGTAAAAGGTTGGATTACTTGAAATTATCTACACGTAGCCTTACGTTTTCTTCCTGAGCAGAAAAAGTCACTTCCTGCTAGAAGACTGGAGCCTTACCAATTAAAAAAGGTGTGCTAATCTAGTATTCCAAGTTGAAAACAGATGTAATAAAGCAAATAACCAATGATGAGTGCTTGCTTGTGTTCTGGTCAAAGAGGACTTTAGGGGGAACAGTCTCAGAGTACAGAGATGGGAATTCAAAGGGGGTCCAACACTGCTTGCTGTCTTCAAAGCTTTGTCTGACAGCCAGATGAAAGCTCTGTGCTCGTTGTCTTGGTTCAGTGGGCACGTGGGTTAAAGCACATGCAAGATCATTGCAGTTAAAAGCACAACCCTGACCACTTGGGACTCAAGGAGAAAGTACAAAGTGTCGAGCTACTGAGATGCACTGGAGCTCAAGGGCAGGGTGGTGATGTCCAAATTATGCTGTGTATGAGCCTGCTGGTCCCACAAAACGGGCTCCAATTACAATAGACCATGTGCTCATGCTAAATGATTACTGGGCAAAGAGGTCAGTGATGGCAGCCTGCAGAGATCTGATCATGGATAAAAAATATCTGCTTGGGCACTGGAGCATCCATGCTGTCTTAGCCTCCAGAAGCCTTGTCTGGGTCAGTGGCTTTGTGTTCTCTCTACTGGAGGACGCAAGCTGACAAAAGTAAGGCATCCTTGGGACAGAGAGACCAGCGGGGAGGGAAGATAATCTGATGTGAAAGCTCTTGACGCAGTACCGTATGTCTTGCATGTTTTGGAACAAGTTGCTTGATCTCTGCGTGCTTTAGTTTCGTGCCAGTTACTCCCCACGTGTCTCTTCAGGCTCCTTCTTGGAACTGAGATTTTTTTCCTCACCGTGTGTTTGTGAAGTGCCCAGGAAAACAGGGACCAGATAGAAGCTAAAATATCTCACAAGCATTGTCTTAATGCTTATAATGGCATTAGCATTATCATAAATAGTTACAGGCAAATCAGTCATCAGTGGCTCTGGTGGTAAGCAGCAATCCAGCACCTGGGGGATATCAGGCTCTGCTTGTCAAAGTGTTTTGGTAATGAATGTCACAGGGAAAGCTTTTGGGAACGTAGGGGAGAGG